TGATGTGGGCTGCCTGTGTTGTGAAATGCTCCTCCTTCCACTGTACACCACATATGAACATTTTCCTAAATTGTGTATTACTTGCTATTAATTTCACCAAATGATCTTTGGTATCTTACATCAAAGGAGACTTTCCTAGAGAGTAGTGATAACCAGATTTCACTTTGTTTGATTTCTAATTAAAAAAAAAAGAAGTGTGCAGTATAACACAGTATTTACAGTAGATGATGGAGATCTTAGCCCTAGAGCTTAAAATCTTTTTATTCTCCATATGTACTTTTTATATTCAGTGACTGTTCAAGGTTGCTTACTGCCCCTACTGTTCAGTTGATAGTTGATTTAACTTGAAGTAACGGTGAAATTAGCCATTCTCTAGCTTTTCTTCAAAGACACATAAAAAAGGAAAAAAAAAAGAAGTTTTTTGTCTCCAAATGCACAGATTTATTTTGAGAACAAATGATGTTTTGGGAATACTGAAACCAATTATGGTTCGTCTAAGTCAGGTCTCCTAATAATAAATATCTGAGGTACTTGTAAACCAGTTGGCAGTGCAAGAAAACAAACCCCATACTTCATTACAGTGTAAACTGGAGAATCTGGGGGAAGAATTAGGTAGCTTTTAGAAGGAGTGCTGTTCTCTCAAAATACCATTATGTGAAGTTAGTCCATTCATTTTCATTCTTTCTGTAGAGTTTTCTTATATATGACTTGATACATTCTGCCTCTATTTTAGTAAGAGAAATATATTGTGTAAGTAGTAATACAGAGCAAAGATGTTCTTGCACTTGTATGATTTCACTACAATTATTCGCTACTTACACAGTGATTAAATTAAGAATAAAGGAGATGTGACTACTGAACAATATCATTTTCCTTGCATGGAATTACCTATTCTTTCCAAAGAAACTCCCTGTGTAACACATTCTGAGATAGTAAATATTATTGTCTCTCACATTTAAAGGAATTGCTAAATTAATACAAACGAGTAAATGAGCTCATGCTTTACTTGAGTGCAGCTTCTTGTTGTTGTTGGATTTTTCCCCGTGTTTGGAGAAGTGTGCAGCAGAAAATGTCCTTGGGAAGCTCTAGATTGAACATGTACTGAAAGATCGGGTGCCATTGCGAAAATAGAGCAGACGCACTGGAAAAACACTGGTGGTTACTGCCTGGTTTACAAACAGTCAAAAGAACATTTGTCTCTCTTCCCCTCCTGCTAATAATGAATGAAGTGATATTGGGATTTTTATGATAAACAGGCCAGATGAGAGATAATGTGTCACTGTCCTCTCATGAAGTGGCTGTTAATTATAAACGCCCTGTCCTTTCCTGGCAGAGCTCTGCATGATGTGTAGATGTTGCTCCCCTCATTTGTGGAGAGAGCTGCTACCCCGTGTGACCATGGGAGCAGGCTCTGCCTCTTGAGGCAATATATACTAACGTAGCAGTAGCTCAGCTTCACGAGGCAATTTTTGTTATTACTTATTTATCTTTTGTTGTAGCTGGAAAATAGAGGTTAAGGAAGTGCTGAACTCAGGTAGTGATCCCATACAATACATGCACTTAGCACATAAGGCATTTTGGGGGCACTTTTCAACTGCAGAGGCATTTGCTTGTACTATTCCCTACGTGTTTACTGGTGATTAGATTAAACGTGTTTCACTTGGCTTACTGGGTTCCTGCTGTAGGGCGCAAAGGGCACATACCTTATTCACAGACTGAAGGAAAACGCAGTTGGGTAAATGGAACAACTAGATGAATGATGATAATCAGGCTTTTTGCAAACTTTATTTTGTGATAGTCAAGAAGAATAGAATTAAATTAACCTGGTAAAAAACATTTGATAGGATCTGTCATATTTACAATTTAAACTCCACCAACCGTATCGGAGGGGAAATCTAACGAAGCTGAGGATGTAGAGGATAAAGGGGCAGTCAGCAGCTGTGGAAACATATTCCTCACAGGTTAAAAACATCAGTTCTTCTTTTTGTCCATAAAGTGCAGGAATATGTTCAGAGAGCAAAGTCAGTCAGCAAGGCATCGAGCTGCCTCGCACGCTGCCCTCCGGTTACTGTTCAAGCCTGGGGCAGCTCTTTGCATTGGTGGCCTCTACGCATACCAACTTGTAAAATGAAAAAGAGTGTGTTGTTGTTGTTTTGTTTTCCTGTCTTTCTTACAAACTTGTTTTACAAGGCTGAATTTTGACATTCTTTCTGGCTGTTCAACTGGACAGTTGTACCCTGGAGAGGATTTAGGTTAAAAGAAGGGAGAATTCCTCAGAGTATTGGTTTGGTATTCCAAGGTCTGTTGGAATTGGGGAATTTAAGAGACTCAGATGATCAGCACAGTAGGTAGACATCAGTAATAAGGAGGAATGGCAGTGGTTTTAAAAAGCCATACCAGAATGGATTCCGGTCTGGAAGAGAAGGATAATAAACTCCTTGCGCTCAGCTGGCACAATGACTCCTGGGTGGTTCTCCGCTGTAAGCGAGCCGATTGCTCAGCCCCCAGATAACAGTGGTCAGTAAGCAAAAGTCGTTCAGAATATTGCTTGTCCATGTGAAATCCTGTAAAGGCTGAGAGGGCTGTCTTGTTCGCTGCTTTGGCCTTCTTGGGAGCTGCTTGGATGGATACTGGGTGACACAGGCAAGATCCTACCCTATGTGGCTTTCATAGTTTCAAGACATTTTGCAAGTTGTCAATAACTAAATCTTCAAGTGGTATCACAGCTCTCTTATTTTGAGAGAAATGCGTGTTTACTTTATGCTCGCTCTCTTTTTAATTGGCGTTTCAGACTTGTCTACTGGCAATATTGAATTTCATTACCTGAATTTTAACCCATCTTTTTACAATTCCACTGTAAATGTTCAGATAGACCTAAAGCTTGTCATTTGCACATATCGAGTTAGTGGCAATAATGAGAAGATACTAATTTTGCACATGCAGGCTATGGGAGATACCGTCACTGATTTGGTGCCCACCAAACAGTTATGTGAGGTGTGCTGGTTGCACGTAACATTTGCTTTAAGATGAAACTCAAACTCATTTTTTTTCTTCTCTATTCTCACTAGCTTGGCTGCTGCGTTTTGCATAGTGCCCTTTTTTTTTTTTTTTTTTTTTGGTAGTAACTTGTAACATTTATCTGAATCATAGGGCACTCTGCAACATACTAAGTTCTTGAGTATGGTTGTGTTTTGGAGATTGAAATATGAGAGCAACCAAGTTAGGAATAACACTTCCAAAGAAAGCAGGAGGTGATATCGCCATTTTGGCTAGTTTGTGTCAGTAGTATTTAAGCACAGAAGCATCAGCAGTGCTGGGGAAAATCAAATGTATTAAACATAATTACTTGTACTTCATGAAAAGATTTTCTTCCCCTCAGAACTGGCCCTGCTCAGAACAGCTCAGGCTTGCTCTGAAAGCCTGAAGCCCCCCTCAGGCATTAGACCTTTGTGCAAATATCCACAGGACTTTGGACGTTTTGTTTAGATCTGCTCTGCAGCTGCTGTAAAGCATGAGTTTTTCACTCCAGGGTGCTTGTCCGGTATGCAGGGTCTGGTAGATGTTGGCCGAATTCGTACTCGGTGCCATTTGAGTGCTCGGGGTAAAATGCCGCAGTATTTACCTTGTTGAGTGATTAGCCCTGGCGCTCAGTGGCAGTAACAGGGATGAAGTTTCACCCCAGAGTTTTACTAGAGGAGAATGGTCTTTGCAAAAGATAGGTTGCTCTTAGGCACCAAGGAGGAGGCAGGAAGGTCAGCAAGACATCAGAGACCACTTTTCCTGGGGCAGCTGCCCCAGCAAAAGCTTCCCAGCTGTTACAGCCTTGCTTGAATGCAGGCACGGAGAAAATAGGTGCAATCTGGCTTGGAGCCACTGGCAAAGTGTGGTTGCCAGGCCTGTTCTGTTGCCTGCTGCTGGCTGTATATGTGCATAGGTGCACTATAAAATAGCTTTACATGTTGCACATATAAGCCTTTGTGCAGCTTTTTGCCTAAAACATGGGTCACCACACTCGTTCTTGCTTATGTTAAACATACATAGTCTGACAAATGTATAATAAAAGAAGCTGTGATGGTTTGTATAGTACACTTGGCTTTTACTTCCAGCTTTTATTCAGCTAATAAATGTGGCCTGGTCTGCTAAGGAAATCTGTAGCTTCAAAATATGCAGCAATGAGTGATGGCTGCTTAAGTGCCTAAATTGCTGCTACTTGCAATGTAGATTTTAGAATATATATGTAGAGTGTGTGTGTGTGTGTATCTATATAACTATATATTTTAACAAGCAGAGGTGTCTGTTTGGAAGTCAGGTGGTTTTGGGAGTTGGTTTGTTAGTACTCATAGAGTCAGATTCTCAGCTGAGGAAAGTGATTGTTCTTCCTGATCTAAATATCAGCTGAGTCATATCATCCAACAAGATGATTCATTAGTAATTAATAGGAAAGGAAAGCATGAATCCATACATCAAATACTACCCCAGACCATTTGGATTTGGTTGTCTTGGACTAAAATGAGATGGAATGGTTGCAGTCTAAGGGCCTGGCTGATAGGACTCTTTGAGTTTGTTACCAAGTCTGAAATATCTAACTGTGGGAGGGTCATCTGAAAAGTGCCCTTGCTTTCCACTCTTGCTTTTAATTTGTGACCAAAAAAAAAAAAAAAAAAAGGCATTCTACTCCAGTATTAGTTGTGAAACTATGAGTCCTTTTAGGACTTGGGTACACCAGTGAATTGTGTAGACTGATACCATATCTTGTGGGAGCTAAACCTTAGCAAGTGATGATGGGGTACATCAGTCTATAACAAAAATATGCCCAGCAAATGCTTCAGGAAATGTGAAAAACAATGAAGCTTTTCATTGCAGGAGGCCATCATGAAGTCTGATAAATCACTTGCCATTTTATATGTTGCAATATGACTTGATTGTATGTTTTGCTTTTAACAAATGTTTAAAAAGCACACTGCCCTCACTTTTTAACCCTGAGATTTTTGTCTCTGCAGTTTGCCGTGAAGACTCATACCAGTCAATAGTCTCATGTGCTGCTGTAGTACTCACACCTGTAGAACCCACAGCGGATACAAGGAAGAAGGAACAGACCAAGATGCCTGATGTGTCTAAACAGTGAGTTATTGCATCAAATAAGATAATTGTTTGTAAAAGCAATTTTAACATCAGCCTGGATTCTTTCTTGTGGATATGCATGTGCACCTCTCTTCTATTTCACCAGAGGTTATGCAGGAATTTCCAAACGCAGAAGCTGGCCAAGCAAGAAGAGGCTTGCTTTTGTTGTTAGCCTGACTTCTCCATGGCTTTTGGTAATGAGGTGCACAGAGGGAATGGGCATTTATCCACTGAGAAAATGACTCGTTAACAGGCTTAATGAGATTATTCTTTTTGTATGAATAGTTCTTTTATTCTTGCACATGTTTTTCAGTCAACAGTTGATTTTTAGAAAAAAACATAATTCCTAAATGCTCATTTTTGTTTTACTGCTGTGATATGAGATATGGTGACATCTTCAGAAGTGTGATAATGGTCTGCCAAGGAAATCCTGTTAAATCAAATAGACTGTAATTTGATATCTTGCCCTGTTGCATTAGAAGAGAATCATGAACAGTGTGAGTAGTGTCATGTATCTTGCATTACCAGGCAGGATGGTGGTTCCTCAACAAATATGTGTGTGTATATATATAGAGGGAGAGACAGAGAGAGATGAATAATTTTCTATAAATCTTTTTCTTTCTTCCATGCAAAGAAAGAAATAGCATAATAGTAATAGACTTTTTTTTTTTTTGCATGGATTCTTTTTAAATCCAACTATCAACAGCAGGGAATTAGAGATGAGGCTTGAAACATATGTGCAAATACTTTACGTAAGATTAAAATATGTATATTGCACCATCTGTTACTAGCTATAATCGGCTATCCGCTTAAGGCATGAAGTCCATACGCATCTACTCTTGGTACAAGTGTGTGGCTTAAGTCTGTATCTAACCTCAATATCTGTTTCAATCTGGTGACAAACTGCCTCTTACTGGTCTATCTGTATCCAAAAGTTGAACTTTTTGTTTGTTTGTTCTTAGAATGACTTTAATGTTTGAAACACTCTTAGCCTCTACTTGCTCTTCTGTACTGGTGTGACTGGTGGTATGGCTCTCTGAGGACTAAGAACTTGGAAAGACAAAAGGCCCCAAAATATAATACGAAAATGCTGCTTTTTATGTTAACTTTTGCCTGTTTTCCCTTGAAAGACAAAAATGAACTGTTGCTTGGTTCTCTCCTATGCTTTTAGCAGTTTCAGCTTTTTATAATCCCTTATGAAGTAAAGATAGAGCAATTCTTTTATGTATAGCATGTTCTTGAGCACTTCAATGATGCCACCTCCTAGATTTATTTTTTTCCTCTGCATCTTATTGATATTAGTAAGTATGTTCATCCACTTTTTCAGTTTGTTTATTTAAAACCACATTGGTAATATGTTCTGAGCATGTACTCAGATAAATTATACTTATCTCATGCACTCAGAAGTTTCAGAAACATGCTCTGACTTCTGCTGCTGTTTCAGGTGGTGCTTGTGTAAGTCTTTGTGATTCTTCTAAAGAGAAAACAAACTTGTGCTTAGACAAACTATAAATGCTTGAATTTCACATAGAACAACATAACTGCATTCTTAAAGCAGCATTTCTTACAAATTTATGAAGAATTAAACATGTTTCCATGTTATTTAAACAGGAATGGAGTACATTTTGAGTATACTTCATGTAAACTTTCAAAGCAGTTGTAGGGGGATTACAGCGTACTAAATCAAGAAGACCATTGTGGGCAGATCTTCATGTTATAATTACTGGCATTCTTAATAAACTCACTTGAAAGTAATATTAATATTGTGATTTGTATGTATGTATTTGAATTTGTACATCTCATCTGGTTTTGCTCTATATTTTCCCTTGACTCTGAATATCACAAGGGACCAGCTCTCCAGCAAGTCAGTCCTGGGAAAAGCACATTGCTTACTTCAGGCCCTTGGACAGAATATGGTTAGAATAAGAAGTGCTTTCTAAAGGAAACACTATATAATCAAAAATGGATAAAATGTGTATTAATGATAAGACAGCGAATAGCTACGAAGAACTAAAGAACAAGAAGCTATGAATGAAGCTTGGGGTAAAAAGAGCCTTTAGTCTAAATTGTATTATATTTGACTAATGATGTTATTTTGTCGTCGTAAGAAACTCTTTAATGTTTTTAAAGAATGTACTGTATTTGCTTAATGAAATTTTACTCAAGTAGCAAATAAACATGCCAGAAGTGATAGCAGCAAAGCTTAATGATTCTTTGAAGTGTCAGTAATTAGGTATTATCAGGATTGGAGGAACAAAAGGCCGATTTATTTACTTTTTTCCTGCATTTTGCCTTGAAGTTAATAAACTTTTCATGAGAAAGCAGTTTCTTAGTGACATGTAGGGAATGACTAACTCTTGTGCATCTTGTGCACTGTGGGCAAAATCCCTCTCTGTCATTGAGCAGAGGAGGAGTTGACTAAGAAATGTGATAATGTAAGAGCGTAGCAGCAAAATAAATAGAGAAAGCTCTTGCTTTCCTCAGGCTGAGCAAATATCTTGCCTTTAGCAGGCCTGGGAGAGGCATAAGTCGTTATAACAAGCTTGTAGGAACGTGTTTGGTGAAGCTATGAAAGCTGCAGGAGGAAGATGCTGCCCTTGCTCAGTGCTTGCTTGGGCTGTCTCTCTGTGTTGCTTTGAGGGCTGTTAGAGCATGGAGGGGGTTCTTCTCTCCTGTGAATAGGAATTTTGGACTGGGGGTATTTCTCTGCTGTCTGTAGGAGAATAATGCAGGAGCCGTCTTGTTTGCTGTGCTCAGCCAAGTATGCCGTGTGCGTCCGGCTGGCGAGAGCAAGAGGGCCCCTGTGTAGCTCTTTGCCTTGCAGTCCCCAGCAGTCCCCCAGCACAGGGGAATTTATAGTCTGGGTGTTAGTGTGAAGACGGGGCAAAACACAAGAAATGAGAGCTCTAGCTTCTTCCTCCGTGCCCTTCACTTTTTCTAGGATATTGAATTAATTTGTTGCTATACTTTTGTAGAAATACAAGCCTTAAAATGCACACTGACTTAACATCCGAGGTTTCAAGGCCTCTCTGGGTTGCTGTGGTGATAATTCAGTCTGTTTCTCTCCAGATGCTGCAGTAATTGGAACAGTTTATTCTATTTGCATAGTCTTAACTTCAGTCCTTCCTATCTGAATGCAAATAAAAGTAAATCAACTGCTGAGGCCGAGCAGTGACAGGAGGAATCATCCCTCCTGTTTCAAGCTCTTGCAGAGAGCATGGGAACGGAGGCATGGGCAGCGAACTGGAAGTTGTGCTTCAGAACAACTTAGCTTCAGCTTCTGTGATCAAAGCGTCAGCTGGAAGCTCACGCTGCAAGGGAGAGCACTGAAACAGAAGCTTCTCCAACACGGGCCTTTCTGAGAAAATGTTTTACTGCTGCGTGCTGCTTTTCTATAAGCAACGAGTGAAACCTGTAAGGGTAAATGGAAGCCTTTGGGCTTCAATAAAAATCAGTACTAAACTGTTAAGTACAGATGCTCAGTTTGGCAGCTTCGGTAGGTTTTGGTGCATTTATGTTTCTTATTTGCTCACTGTAGTAAGTTTATAGGTGAATTTAGGAGGCTTTTTGTTTTTTTTCAATATGAATTTCAGGCTGTTAAAATGTGAGTACTAATTGGAAGCTGATGATAGTCCCTGTGGACTTTTACAGCCTTGGTTAATTCCTTTCAAAAAGAGTAGAAAAGAGCTGGTTATAGCCTACTCTTCCTTAAATTACTGATTCTTTTTTTTCCTCTTTCTTGGTTTTCCTTATTTATTTATATATTTGGAAAATCTCTGGAGAGAAGTTCTTCCTGCAGAGCGACGGCTGTTGGTTGACCTCTGTGTTAGTCGCTGCTCCTCTGTGGTGTCAGGAAGCGTGGTCTCTAATGCAGCCAATTTGTTGCTCTCCAGTATCCCCCGCAGATCTCTATCAGGTTTGACAGTCTGTTCAAGAAGACATGTTGTGGTAATGGGATAAACGAATGCTTTTCAGACTAGTTTAGACAACCCGTTAAAAGATGATTGAACTGTTTCAGTTTCTTCTATAATTGCAATGACACACTAAGAAAGCTCCGTGGGTAATACGGAGAGGATATGGATGCCCATATGGTTTGAAAACTCTCATCAGACTCAGTTTGAAACAATAAGAGACACCCCTCTGGAGATATAATATGCTTTTGACTACAGCATTTTTTTTGATCCTTAGAGAAGTCTAATTTGTATGCGTTTCTTTCAGACATGTGCTTAGAATTTTAGTAAGGAATTTCTAATACCATGTGCTTGTGTTGTGAGTAGTGAAATGGGCTAGTAATGATCTCTCCCTCTACTAGTAAGAATCATAGAATCATAGAATGCTTAAGGTTGGAAGGGACCTCTAGAGGTGATCTAGTCCAACCCCCCTGCACAGCCAAATAACTTTCCAGAAGGGCCAAATGTCTTTTCTGAAGTGAGCTGGGTGCTTGGGACGCTCCGCAGGGAACTGTCCCAAGCCGTGTCTTCCCAGGACCCAGGCCGGAAGGGCCAGGCATGCACGGATGGATGACAGGCTCTGTGCCTTGTCCTGGCCCCAGCTCCTGCCTGACATGGACTCTTTTTTAAGCAGCTCAGAATGGTGACTGCTTTCGGCTTCCCTTGAGGAAAAAATGAACAATAGCAAATCAAATTCTGATGTTTCTGTTGTTTTCTCTATGTCCTACTACTGCCAAAATGAGTTACAATTTTGAATAAATGAAAAATAAATAATGGATGTGTGAAGGAAGAATAATTAGTGTACAAAGCAAATGCAGAATAAAAATTGTATCTGCTTATAGACTGAGAGTATCAGCAGTTCTACCATTCCTTCTCAGGCACTCCAGCCAGCAATTTATAGGCAAGATCAACACTAAAACAATCCAGTTAAGTGTTTTAATTATCTTAGGCAGTTGTTTGCAGCTAAAGGATTAGGAGGTTCTGTGTAGCTTAATTTGATCTGAGTTGCAAATGTTGAAAAAGCTGTTTTTGAGAGCCACTAGCTAATTA